AAGGAGAGTGCAGAAACTACTAAAATTGGGTTAAGAACTGTCCAATGCATTATTAAAAACTGGAAGGATAGTGGGGACCCATCACCTTCGAGGAAGAAATGTGGCCAGAAAAAAATCCAGAATAATCGTGATCTGCGATCACTTAAGCGTTTGGTGAAATCAAATATAAGAAAAACAACAGTAGCACTCAGGGCTATGTTTAATAGTGAAAGTAAGAGTATTTCCACACGCACAATGCGAAAGTAACTCAAGGAATTGGGACTGAACAGCTGCATAGCCTTAAGAAAACCACTAATCAGTGAGGCTAACCAGAAAAAAGGCTTCAATTTGCTAAGGAGCATAAAGATTGTACTCTGGAGCAATGAAAGAAGGTAATGTGGTCTGATGAGTCCAGATTTACCCTGTTCTAGAGTGAAGGCACATCAGGGTAAGAAGAGAGGCATCCATCATTCAGTTCAATTCAATTCAAAAATACTTTATTGATCCTAAAGGGAAATTAAGTGTTGTTGTAGCTCATCATCCTGGTTTCATTCAAGAGTTATTATAGATGCTGATAGATGTGAGCAGGAAGCATCTCCTGCAGTGAAGTCAAAGAATCTGGCCACATATACCGCTCCATCCACACGGATCCAGCTTGCTGTCAGATCTGGCCGTCCTCCTGGGCAATAGGACTACCTGAAAGCCGAGCAGAATTTCTCCCTAATGATGGTCACTCCTCCCAGCAGTCTGCCGAGCTCCTCATCACCAAGGACAGACAGCTGAAGGTACCGGGATAATCCCAGTCCTCCCGTTGTCACGAACCGAGTTTCTCACCAGCTCCAGGATTTCGGCAGTCAGGTACTCGAGCACCGCTACCAGGTTGACGGGAATTCATCCACGGCTCTTCCTTTTCAACTCATTTGGGATTTGGGGCTATAGTTGAAGTATTTGAGCTTTTGAGATGTTAATCAGCTGCTCCTGGTTGTTAAAAACCAACACATTGCCATGGTTACGCATCATAACAAGTGCCCAAAAGGGAAAAAGTTTTGGTAAAAATACTTCCAGCTGCACAGTATCTGATACCGAAGGAAATAATCATCTGAAAAATGTGATTTACATCCAGAATAAAGAAGAATTAAAGTTTTCAAAAGCAGTAACTGAGAATGAATGTAACAGAGCTACTACAACATGCAGCCACCCTGAGCGGCACAATATCGCTCAGGGTGGCATGCCTAGTGCCTAGTAAAGCTGTCATTTCTAACCCGAACCCGGAGCCCGGAGCCCGGCCCCGCCCGACCCAGATTCGGGCCAGGCTGGACCATAATAAAATGTGCTTGATGTGTGGTCCGGGTTGGTGTCGGTCTTTTTATTGTGTCAGAAACACATGCGGTCAACGATCCAATGTATTCAAACATGGCTTGCCATACAACACCTGCTGCACGCAGCCATTTGACCATGCGCTGACCGGCCGGTTGAAAGAGGTAAAAAGTTCAGTTAAGCTTCAGATGGACTACTGCCAGAGACCCATCAGCCCAAATGGATGTTCATTCAGCCGCTGCACTCAGCGGACGTGTGCAGCCAAGACCCAAATAGGTGAGATCACAAAATATCCGACATGTCAGAGCAGGATGCAGACAGAAGCAGGGGAAGCATTTAATGCACTTTGACTGCTCTTCAGCTCTGATCTTCTGCCCCTCAGCCGCGTGCATCCGCCAACCGTTAATAATAGTCGGTGGTATAAACAGTCAAAGCTTAATTAAAAATGTTTTTTTTTTCTGGGTTCGGACCTGTAATTACTGTTAATTTGTTGGATTGGATGAGGTTCGGAGATTATGACTATGGGCTGGGGCCGAGTCGGTTCGAATTATTTGGACCCGAGTGCAACTCTAGTGCCTAGTTATCAATGCAAGATCTTGATGAAAAATTAATACAACACTGGATGGAGATAGATCTTGTGACATTGCAGAAGTTTATCGAAACAATGTCACAGCAAAGGCATGCCGTATTCAAAGCTAAAGGCGGTCCAATGAAATATTAGTGTGTGACCTTTTTGTTTTGGTGGCAACTTTATTTTTGGCTAGGCAGTGTAATTAGCAAACAAAGATGCCATTTTTCTCATAGAAAAACACTGACAGACCTCTTAACAGCTTCTAACTGACAGCGAGGTCACATGACCTAGAGTGGAGAGGACCCTGTACAAACACTGAACTTTTGGAGCCATTTTGGATCAAGATGGCTGCCAAAGCTACCTCAGAAAACTCAAAATTGACTATAATTCAGTCATTCAAAAATGACTATACCGTATATTTTGGACTATAAGGCGCACGTAAAATCCTTTAATTTTCTCAAAAAT